CTCTGTTGGTCTGTCCGAGCATCCAGGCCTCTGGTTCTATTTTGTTCGTCCGTTTGCTTTTATTAGATTCCACCTGTGAGTGAGATCGGGCGGCTGTTTCACGTAGAGAATACCCCCAGGCCCACCCGCGCGGTGGCGAAGGGAAGGGGCCTCCCCTTTCACAGCTGCGTAGTGGCCCATGGCCCAAGTGCGCCACCGCTTTTCTACCCACTCACCTGCTGAGGGGCGCTTGGGCTGCTCCCCGACTTTCACCTGTGGGTTGGGTGGTATCACGGCTGGGCCCCAAAACACGGATACAAGTGTCACGGAAATGCAGGCTCCAGGAGAGTGATGTCATGGAATTTATAGTTTTGTACCCCCTCCCCTTATTTAATCTTTTTTTTTTTTTTTGGCATACATGACCAACTTTTATTCATTTATTTTTCTATTACAGTTGATGTTCAATATTATTTTATATTTGTTTCAGGTGCACAGTTTAGTAGGTGCCTTTATTTTTATTTACTTTAAGTTAAAAAAATTTAAAATAGCCTGGCCTGGGTGGCTCAGTGGCTGAGCGTCAACCTAGGATCCAGGTGGCTGGGGTTTGATTCCCGGTCAGGGCACAGGCCCGGGTTGTGGGCTCGATCCCCAGTCGGGGGCGGCAGGAGGCAGCCGATCGATGACTCTCATCATTGATGTTTCCATCTCTCTCCCTCTCCCTTCCTCTCTCTGAAATCAATAAAGATATATTTTAAAAAAATTTAAAATAGATTTTGGAGAGGGGAGAAAGAGGGAAGCATGGGTTTGTTGTTCCACTGACCTCCGCACCATTGGTTGCTTTCTTGCATGTGCCCTGACGGGATGGAACCAGCAGCCTGGGTGTGTGGGGTTGACGCTCTAACCAATCGGGCCACCCGGCCAGGGCGCAGGTGCCTTCACTTTTATTCCAACCACAGCGAGAGCCTCTGAGGCTCATTCTGCTCAGCTCCTGAGTTTCCCAGCTCTGGTCTTTACCCGGCATCGCTCAGGCCTATTTCAAATAAAGACCCGGCCCACCCCACACCCAGGCCTGTGTCTGGCTCATCCCTTCACCGGCCCTCGTCCAGGTCTCTCCCCCCGTCAGCTGAGTTCCCCTTTTGACGACTCTGACATGGGTGACCCAGTCCCCCTTTTAAGTTCCTTCCTCCCCAAACCAACTGCGAGCGGACCCAAGACAGCAGGGGTCTCGGAGGTTAGAAAAGCCAAGTGGGCCAGGCCTGTCCTACGGGCGCCTTGGCCCCGCTGCCTGAGTCAGTGGGAGGCTGTTTCTTCCGGCGCCTCACTTCTGGCTCTTTACAAAGTGTCTTTCCTGCTGGGCACCCTGCGGGCGCTGCAAACTTCTCCCGTCCGGGTCCTTACAGGTGAAACGGAGCGGGAACAGCAGGATGGAGAAATTTTACTCTATCTGGAAGCACACGTTCTGGTGTGGAAACGGGGATGACTTTCGCTATAAAATCACCCAGGGAAGCCAAAAGTTCACATCGTTCTCCAACCCCAAGACACCTGCGCACCTGAAGCCGCTCACGGTGGTGCTGCACGGCCGGCCGGCCTCGGGAAGACCACGCTGGCCAAGAAGTGGATGCTGGACTGGACACAGGGCAACGCCCCCGGGACACCCGGTGCCACCTTCTATCTCAGCTGCCGGGAGCACTCTCGAGGAGCTGATAGCTGAGAGATGCCCGGGTGCCCGGGAGCCAGCGCGATCCTGGCCCAGGGGCGGAAGGTCCTGTTTGTCGTGGACGGTTTCGATGAGCTGAGGGTCCCCTCGGGGTCACTCATCCGTGACACCTGCGGGGACTGGAGGAGGAGAAGCCGGTGCCGTCCTGCTGGGCAGCTTGCTGAAGAGAAAGCTGCTGCCCAAGGCCACGCTGCCGGTCGCCAGCGCCCGGGGCCCTGAGAGCTCC